TCTCAAGGGCTCTGTGAGTAAACAGGAACACTGTTTTGAAAGTTCAATTCACTGTACAGGCTGTTCACTTTGCAATGTGTGTATGGTGGTCCTTTCACAGACTTGTATTAAGAGTGAAGAGTGTTTGTATTTAAATAATTTATGCTATTGGCTCTAATAATATTTGTTCTTGCCTCTAAAGATATTCAGTTTGTATCTAAAAAAAAAAAGAGATATAGATTCCAAAAACAAGCATAGCCATCACTTTTTGAGGATTTGATTTTGCATTTGTTCTCCTACTTAAAAGCTGACAGAATGAAACAAACTGTGGTGTTTAGAATTAACTGTCTTCAGTCCGTTAACCTCCTTGCATGCCCTGAAGCCCGCTCTCCTTATCTCACAGGCAGCCCTGCACAACCACACTCACTAACAGTGTTTTAGTCATCTTATATTTTTACATATTTATAAGCTGCAAGTTGACAATAAATGTTCTGATAGCAAGTCTATCATGGCACTAGTGGAAGTAAATTTAAATTAGCAGTTATTTGTTATGAATAAATGAGTGAATGAGTTTATTGCTGAGAATCTAGTAAAATTACAAATTTACAACATGTAAACCTTTTGCATAATTAATGATATAGCCTGTATAATTATGTTCTCTAAATTACAGGGTTCATAAAGAGGGAAGAAGAGGGAAAAAAATCAATAATAATAATAATAATAATCTATAATAATTAGGAAACCTTCTTTAAAGGTAAAGTGGGGTATTTTCATCAATAAAAAAAAAAAAATTTTTTTAAATGCACATGCACCACCCTGTACCCGCTCCCAAGAGGGAATGCCTGTTGAACACATGCGTGAATGCAAAAGCCCATTTCTCCTCGTGCACGCTCTGTTTAAAAGTTGCTGTTTGCATCGCTCATACAATCTTACTTTGCAAAAGAAAATCTGCAATTTTTCCACTGTCAGACTCACCACCAGTAAGTGAAAATGGGGCCAAGCACGTAGGACGACCCGATGTAAAATATCACCAGAATGACTTACAATTACAAGGACCACTTATTTTTATGATCCCTGCGGATAAAGAACATCCTCCAATATACCTTTAAGTTGTAAGGGTATTTTTTTTATATATATATATATATATTATACCACTAAATTATTGTATATTGTTGTACCAATTGTACCACGTTTGCTAAGATGTGAAGAATATTAATATTATGTAGAGCAGGATATAAGTACAGAATATATTTATTATTATCATTTACTGTTTTCACTTGTCTCAGATGTTCTTTTTGCTTTGCTCTGTAAAAAAAATTAAATAAAAAGTTTTTAAAATAATGTAAAACTTATTTATTTATACCCATTCTTCTCCCTATAACCCTAAACACTAAGAATCTCCCTCATTCATATTTAACTTATGAGTCTCCAAAAGTCCATGAAGTGAATAAATGAATGAATTTACTGATATATAAACATACATGTACACAACCACACGTGCCTACACACATCTTCATTCACATTCTTCCATCTCATGTCTTTGTATGTAAACCAGTTTGATTGTTTTTCTAAAAAAAAAGCCTCCTGCTTGGACATTGCTTAACTCACCCCTGAGTTTGTTCTTTTTGTTTAAATGCAAACTCTTGTCATGTTTGTTCAAGTAGCTACAATTTTGGAAGTTTGATTATCTCTGGATTCATACCCTCCCTGTCTCTCAGTAAAAACATTTTTTTTAGTAGAGAATATCAATGCTTTATGATTTAGAAAATATTTTGCTTTGCCAATAATTACAATGCTTCTAAATGATTTATTCCGAAAATAATCACAAGAATTAGAGGAATAGGAATTTTTATATCATTATGTGTTCTACCTTTACCTCATCTATTAGGACTTTCACACTTTTATGTTTCCTTTATTATTTCCAAATAACCTTTTTTTTAATCAAGGGCTATTCGGTTTTGTCAAACCAGTTTTTTTTTTTAGCTTATTCATTTCCGTTATGACATCATCCAAGAGCAGCTGCTCCTCATGTGTACAGAAAATATGTGTGTTATCTGAAATATGTAGATTTAGAAATGCAGCACTTTTAAAAAAGTTGTCAGGTCTTTACATTTGTTTTTCTTCACATTCAGAGCTGTTAAAACTCCAATATTTGTATTCTATTTAAAGATAGAGTAGAGGATTTTCACAATTGTTACAACATTTAAGAATGTTTCATACTTTTTCCAACGCAGCATGTGCCATGAAATGATTATACATATTATTTCCAATTTTTCAAAATGCCAAGAAAAATATCTGCATATGAACAGAACAGTAAGTTCCAAAAGTTCTCTGCCTGGTTGAACAGACCATAGCTCCCTGACCTTGTGGATATTTCGCAGCACATTTGTTTTCTTGTTAGCCCATGCGCACTTAAAGGACTCCTTCTGGGATATCGGCTGCCCGATTCAAGTGGCTTGGGCCTTTTAGCGCTTGTCTGTGTCAGCAGCATATAGCAAACTGAGAGCTAGTTGCTGAGTGTGCAAATGGAAACCCAGAGGAGTTCAAGCTTTAAAACACGACACTGACTGCAATGGCTGCACGGTTCATTGTTCTAGTCTGATAAAGATATAGAGACCCGGAGGACTTAGATGGAGCAGTAAAACCAAGAGGTGATTTAGAAATGGCAGGAAACCTGACACCTCTCACCTTTTGCACCTGTTGACAACAGAAAAAAACACCAGTTCTCATTTTGTCAGGTTTCCTGTTACATAACAGAAGTCATTTTGCTCTTCAATGCCTGTCAGGTGTGTTGGATTATTTTCCCTTAGTGCAGAATCTACTGTGATAATCTGTTTAACTCACCGAGGGTCTTTCAAACTGTTTGTCGACAGAGAAAATGCAGCCAGTATAAAAGTTGTATAAGGAAAGTTCCCAATGCACAGTTTCATTGACAAAAACGCTAGATGTTTTTATATTTCAACTTTATATCCAAATTTCTGATCCATCCATCAATAATTCAGCTGTCTGATCAATCCTTCTTTCCTACCATCTTTCTTTTCAACCATCCTTTATTTATTACCTGTTTTTCTCTATTTTTCTATTCTTACTTCTCTTGTTTTGTTCCCTCCAACGTTTTGTCCATCCTTCTTGTTACTCTGTCCTTCCTATGTTCTTTCATTTTGTCCTCAAAGCTTTCCTTCTTAATTCCTTGTTTCCTTCCTCATCACTTATCCTCTTTTCCACCCCTGTAAGAAAAACTGTAGCAAAGTCCTACTCATTTTTATTCTTATTTAAAGTGGGCGTAAAATTGGCTGGTTTGAGTGTGAAAAAGTAATGGAAAATTTCTCTGAATCTTTCAAATGGGGTTTCACATTCTTATTACTCTTACAAATAATTAATCACTAAACAAACTCTATGCGGACTAATCCAGCTCCAGTTTCATATTTGTGTCGTCTCATGCCGAAGGGGAAAAAGCTGGAGGGGAAACTGGCTGCAGATTAATTATAAAATCATCTGGGTTCCTTAGCTCTCATTCTGAACTACAGTCCCTGCTAATAACGTTCCTGCTGCTGCATTTTCACACCCACAGTATCCAAAGTTCAAAGAGAGTTCACAGCTCCTTTTTTGAAAACAAAGCCGGATGTCTTCTGTGGTCCTCGACAGAGGCGCTGGCTGCACTGCACTGCCAGCGTCTTTGTGGTGTGCGCCGAGGAAAGGAGACAGGCCAGAGGAATTCAGCAGTACTCAGAGGAGGGCGTGGCACCAGGAGCTGTACATTCCAAAGGCCCTCCGACAGTAGTAAGGAATGCTGACGCTGGACTTAGTCACAAGCCTCTAAGAAACACGAGACGTATTTCCCAACACAACGTTGGAAGCAGAAAGGACATCGCCTGCTGTTGAGAAACTATTCAAAGGTGCAGCAGTCTGTAAAACAGCAACCAAGATTATAGGTTAAACATATCCGCCACAAAAACAGGTGCATTTCACAGTCACTGCATGGCAGTATTTTTATATAATCAGTGTCTCTCTGCTTCTATCTGAAGTTTTCTTCATTCAAACATAACAGAAACATCCACCTCCTCCCTTCTGTGATGAATAATCTCCCTCTAACATGGATGAGAACATTGTTTTGACAGTTTGATTTATCAAATAATCCAAAAGGATGAAATCTGAGCCATGTTATCAAGGGATTTCTTAATAGGATATGTTTTGTAAGAGTTTCCAGTGTTTGCAAATATGGTAGCAATAGAATGTAGCTGGATTACTTATCTTTTCAGTTTTTTAAGTACAGGCCATTATGTTCTGTTAGTTTTATATCGAAACACTCTTGGTGTGAATGGGCAAAGGTGTCTGTTCCCCTGTGATGGACTGGTGACATGTCCAGGTTGAAAACTGCCTCTTGTCTGATGACTGGAGATGGGTAACATCCACCATCAATGGTAATCTTGTTAGGTTTTAGAGACTTTTATGGGGGACAATTTACCATACAGTAGCTGCATGACTTGATCTGAAAATCTCAAATTTTTATTGAATCAGGAACATTTTTTGTCAGATGCACCTGATTTTGCAGTGGTCAGGTATGAGCTAAAAGTGGTCCAGGAATGGAGCAGACGGTGGGAACTGATCATAAGGTCCTGGTTTGACAAGGCTCATTCATTCTCATGGGTAGTCTATAGTCTTACAAATAAAGAATAAAACCAATAATAAAAAAAAAAAAAAAAAAAAAAAAATAAAAAAAAAAAAAAAAAATAATATAAAAAAAAAAACAAAAAAAAAAAAATAAATATATAAAAAACAAAAAAAAAACAATAAAAAAAAAACAATAAAAAAAAACAACAAAGACAACAAATAAGAAGAATAAATAAAAAAAATGATAATAAAAAATAACGACCCCAACAAAATAATAAAAAAACAACCTCCTCTCCACAACCAGAGCAGCATAAAGCAGTAGACAAGATGCACAAAAACTATGACAAATTTATTTCAATAAAAAAAAAAATAAGTTTAATTCTCCCCTAAATAGAACAGTTTCTATAAAATATTTGCGAACTTCAACCTCAACCTTGTCCAACCTGGACACACCTTCAAACTAGTCTGCTTTGCACGAAGAAACTCCTGCAGTAATAAAACAGAGGGGAAGATGAGTGTCTGTGCACAGCTCAATGAGCGAATCAGTCATGAATCCCAGTCCAGCAACCGGGCAGCGCCGCAAGGTGAAAGACACATCAGTCAGGTCGCTCATGTCACCAAAGCAGATTTGATTTGTCAAGATGCAACTCCTCAAGGCAGGCAACACTGGCTCACATGTGTCTTCTGCCTCCCACACAACACAATGAGATGGAAATGCACAGAAACTGATTTGAGGGATGAGTGTTGCTCATTCCAGCAGTGGGGTATGTTATGAAATTGGCTGCAAGACTAAAACTCCACAGGATAGAAGTACTTACTATAAATGCCCGAAGCATTACACCAAAGATAAAGCTTCTGTTGCATTTTTGCCTCACTTTATTTCAAGAAAAGCATTCTTGTGCATGTTGATATACAACATTTTGATTTACAATGTTACATAATAATTTCACATCTTGCTCTGTGATTGCTACCAATCTAATCATTTCTCTAGGAATAAATTCTCTAACGCAGCCCACACTAACCCTGGCTAAAGTTGCTACTTCCTCAACCTCCCATGTGACATTTCTCCTTGGATTCAAAGGTCTTCTGATTCAGGGATGAGGGGGATCTCAAGAGAGATATTTGGGAGTGTGACTGAGCCACCGGTTGAAACCCATCCCAGAGGCACTCTATTGAAGGATGGCCGGTTCAGAGAACAATCCCCCTGCAGAGCAGGGATTTCTTGGACAGACTCCTCCTGCAGGGCTGTGATGGTCTCGGGTCTCTGCGCCTTGCTGAAGCCCCCGAAAGGGGTTGCCACCCTGGAGGTGACAGAGGGACAGTATTAATGTTGTTTTCCATGTGCTAATGAGTTTCACTGCTTTGACATTTAAAGTTATGCAACCAATTAAAGCAAGCATGCAGCCAAGAGCTGTACTGTAAGTTTGAAATGATTAGAAAGAGGTAAACAGGGTTTGAGATGTTGGTAGGGTTGGCATACATAACTAAAATAGCTAATTAGAGACAGATGATACAGCTTTTAAATTGCTATGCTTTAGTGAAGTAATGTTTCAAAAAATGACCTTTCTTTGGAAGTAATGATAGATTGGAAGATAGACATTAGGAGTAGACTGTAAGAAAAGCATGTCTTATTATTAAACAATAGTAAACATGTTTTCTTAAAATATCCATAAAATGTATCTATAAGTTAGTTTGATGTTAGATGTAGCCTATTTGGTGAATAATTGGAAAATCCTGTGAAAAACAAACTACATAATAAAAGAGGATTTTTGCCACATCTAAGCTTTCATATTAAGATTCTATCTATTAGAGATATGTAGTTTAGACATGTTTTTATGTAAAAGATATTTAATTAAAACCTGTATGGAATCTACTGCAGATTAGTTTTTTATACTGGATGAGCTGATTATTCCAGGTGTGCCTGACCTCAGTAACTATGGCAAGACACACCTGGGATAATCAATTCATCCAGTAATGAAAGGCAAAAGGCAACAAAAGAGCTGCCTTAAATTCAGAAAGTAGTGGAGTTGTGCGTAGAGCCCGTTAGGAAATTCGAACATGACGTTGTATGGAGGGTGTTCTGGAGAGGATGAAAAGTTAGTAGTAAGTAGCAGCCAACAGTTTGTGAAAATGATCATCAGTCAACATGCTTGGGCATTTTCCCCCAGGTGTCCCTCCATTATGAACATTTCATCCCAGTGCTGCGTGTCCAAAGCCCGTTATATCATCAGTAACCCCTTCACACCCCCACCATGGACTGTTCTCCCTCCTGCTGTCTGGAAAGAGGCTTCACAGCATTTCCTGAAATCCAGCAGGTTCTGGAACAGCTTTTTCCCTGCTGCCATCAGACTTTTGAACTCTAAACTGGACTCTGCACCACACTTGCAACATTATTACTATCAACATTGCTGATTTTTTATAATCCTTTTTAAATAGGACACAACTCATTGTTCTACTGCATTTTGCACCATATTTAGTATGCAACGTTTTTTATATACATTGTTATATTCTGAACACTGCTACACTTTATATTGGTAATGTTTATCCACTCCAACCTCAATATCATTACACTGTTGTAAGCTGTATGCAACATACTTTTGTTTTTTTTTTACAACAAAGTTTGTCTAAGTCTAAGTCGAAGGGATCAGTATTGGGGGTTATATAAATTATTCTCTACAAAACAACATATGTAAGTTTTCAGAAGTATTTACTTTTGTTTTGCTTACAGATGACACAAATCTTTTCTGTACAGGTTAGAGCTTACAGGAGCTCCTGGATGATATAGCACCAGAAATGAATAAGATAAAAAAAAAACAGATTAGACAAAAACACATTTGAGTCTTGAAGAGCTCCAAGTTAGATTTATTTAGAAATTAGAAAGTAAATATATATAGAAAAGTCCAAATAGATGGGGTAGAGGAGAAATGACTAAACTAAAGTATCAGGTGTGATTATTGACCAAAAGATCTACTGGAAGCCTTACATCAGACAGAGGAAATTATTAAGAAGCAAAGCAATCCTAATTAAAGCTAAACATTTCCCAACTCACAGCAGAGGAGGAGGGAGTGATCATTGCAGTTATTAACAAGTGTATAAATAAACTGAATGTGATGCCATTAATATGACATCAGTCAAAAGAGTTACTGATGCAATTGTTCAAACACTGTCTCATGTCTGTAAGGTCACTTTCCAAACTGGTAAATTTAAAATATATAGAGATATATAAACAGATTTTATACATACACAGACACTAACTTTCAAATTATAGGCCTGTTTCTCTCTTTACATAGTTTTCACAGATTTAGAAAAAAAAAACTTTATTACCAGACTAGAAGATTTCAATGATAAACACAAACTACTTTCTGAAAGTCAGTATGAATTTAGATCACAGAGGTTTTGACAGTCCTGGAATTAATAGAGGAAATTAACAGCTCCATAGATAAAGATAAGTTTGCAACAGGTCTATTGTGTGGAAGTCTGTAGTTACACCTAACGGACATTACTCAAACCACTATGCACAACACAGAAATGAGCCATTAGAATAACTTATAAGAGTTGATATCATGACCTCAGTAAGCCATTATTTATTCATTCCAGCTTGCTTAAATTCTCTGATCTGGTAGAATTTCAAACCTTACAACTAATGTATAAAGCTAGAAATAAACGGCTACCAGACAACATACAAAAACTTTTAACTGAGAGAAAGGGAGGCTAACGACAGGGATTATCTAAATGTCAAAATCCAATGTGCTTGAATTAAATTAATTTAAAAAAACTATGAATTTGAATTGCTTAAATAGCATGCATTGAAATGCATTTCAATAAATGGTGTGAATGTATGAAATACTGCGAACAGACTGTACCTGCCTCTAACCCATGGATGGATGGATGGATGGATGGATGGATGGATGGATGGATGGATGGATGGATGGATGGATGGATG